TTTCTTTTGCCGATGTTCTTAATAGCAGAGCCGCGAGGCTGTGCCACGGGGTAGAGTCCCAAGGCGCGCTTCAAAAGCGCGAAGAGCAGCCCGGAAAACTTCAAGGTTCATAACAAAACACCGATTTTTTTACTTAACCCACTGAAAACAAGAACTGAAGCTCAGGAGAGCATTGCACAGCGTACACCGCCACAATGATCATCGCCTGTGACCCTAATTTTCTGAGTGTGCTTCTGTCGGCACCAGAGCACCCCACCTGCGATGGGATCCGGGGAGCAGAGGGAATCCAGGGACACCCACGGCGTGGGGGCTGTGAGGGGGCCAGCCACCCCCTGCCACTGAGGAGGCTCTCACCGTTCCCCCGAGCCATTGCTCCAGACAAGACATGCAGCAAACTCGGAGAAATGCCACTTCGCCAATTAGATGAGTCACATCCCTGCTCGAAGCCACAGGAACTAAAAGCATGTATTTTTAAGGACTAGTGAGATTTCCATGCAGTGACTGTCAACGAGGGGCTTCCGCGAGAGAGCGATCCCGTACTGCAACCTGTTACTGAGCCCGCTGCACTGCTGAGCGGCCGGCACAGCCAGCTGGGATGTGTCCGAGTTAACCGAGCCCAGTTAATGGGAGATAGGCTTAAGAATTAACCTTCTAATCTCATTTTTTTGTAATGGCACCACTATCTGTGCCTTTTTTGCATATTAATATTTCTGTTTAATTTTCAGTTTGCATTTTTGCATTAGAAATTAGAATCAGACGATCTCAGCCTTTTAGCCATTTTAAACTAATAGATTTTAGAAAGCAGAGAAATGAATGGGAGAAGCCTAGATGTAATTAAATTGTTACTGACCTCCTTCCTCACTTCAGGAGTTACAAGTTAATTTATGATTCAGAATGAAACTGGGAAGCCAGAACTTAGAGTTCCGATCTTAAGTCTGCTATTGACTCATTCTGTGGCCTTTATCAGATGATTTTCTGCCTCAGCTTTGCGTCCAAGAGTCGGGAATACCTAGCAACAACGTTGTAATGACTAATTAGGTTAGACCTGACCTTTCACTACTGGAGTCTATGGAAAACGTCGGAAACGTTCAGATCGGTATTTAAATTTATAAAGCACAAAATGCCATGTAATTCAAAGGTATTTAATGAATAATATCTATTGTATTGTTTTTACACAAAGCATTTTTTTCCTTCTATTATTAATTTTCTCAAAGCATCAAATATAATATTTCTAGCTGTAATAGAGATGTTTCCCATGCAGTTACAGTGCAAAATTAGAACAAATACTATTGCTGAGAGCCATTTTTCTGTTTCTCACCTAGAGCTAAGAAAAGAGCAGCCCATTTTGAATTCCATATTCAATTTCAGCCATACTGAGTCTTCTGGAAGTTTCAAACGTTAACAGTCACAGAATCTGTAATTTATATACAGCCAAGCAAGTGGAATGATATAAATATTGTGACAGTTCATTGGGAGTTTTTGTGCATCATATTGGATCATCTCTCATCTAATATCCCAATCTTTCTTCCTCTGGAATTAGTAGAAAAACTATGGATTACAACGGAGTCAAAGTCACTTGGTTTTGATAAAGTTTGCACTTGTAGAGCTTGCTGGAGAACTTTCAAGCTCTCTGTAACTATTAATGTAGTTTTCAACACGAAAGCAATCGCAGACGCTCTCCACACTGCACAGATAACAGGCTGAGAGGCACAGAAGGGAGGAATGACTGACTCTTTCTCCTTTGTAGTAATAGCAGAGCATCCTGTTTTTAAACTCCCACACTATTCATGAGGCTGTTTACAAGATCCTATTATAAGGAGCACCTCTGGTTGCCATATTTTTTTTTAACGCAAATGATGCTGAGTTAGTTGCATTTCTTGAAAACATACTGAATATCAGAATAGGGAAAGGATCAGTATCGGTAAACAAGAATTTCCGATACAAGGAATTTTTGCTACTGTTTTTACTACCTAATACTAAATAGATTACCTGGCTTACCACTGTAATGTGGTTAGTCACAGACTGCTAACAATATTCTTCTAAAACACAAGCAGATATATTAAAATGAAAAATAACCTCCTCTTTAAGTAGACCCCAACAAAGTAGACCGGATGTTTCAAGTTAGAGAGCGTCCCTTACCACCCTCCGCAAAATGAGGGTTTTTTGGCAAAGATATCAGCGAGGTGCCAAGACCTGATTAGGAAGAGAAGGCGTACCATATCTCAACTCAGAGAATGACATGAAAGGCGAGTTCAAAACTCAGTGACAGAAGATGTTACTGCCCACGCAGGCACAAGATCATGCTGATCACATAATTGGCAGCATCTTGCTAATCTGCATGTCAGGACTGGTGTCAGGTTTGGAACTACAAAGCATGCATTTTTTTTCCTCTTGCTTTTAAACACTTACTGCTTATTAGAAAGAGAAAGTGTGCACACCTAGGATAGATACAGTATAGCTGAAAAGTTAGGTTTCATAGAAACCACATCAAAAAACCCTTGGAAATCTTTGCTGTATGCGAATGGAGAAAGCACAATAACAGAAAGCAGATGTCATTGAGATCAAACTCAGTTAATGTGAATGCATGTACTAAGAAATCAACAGTTTTGTCATCGCTTTCAATGGTGGCAAGGTAAGGCCCATGTTCTCATACTACTTTGGCTGCAACTTTATGTAGAAACTGCATGAATATGTATAGGTTTTGGCAGGAAGATTTATTGCATATTAGACTATAAAAATGTTTGCACTGTACAATCTGGGTTCACCAGTCTAGCAGAAAGCATTAACAATAAAGTGGAAATACAAGATTTGTCAGCAACAGCATACTCTCACAGGCGTGGCGAAATTAAATGAAAGGAAGAATAAGGCTAACAATTATTTTTAAAACACACAACTACTATTTGCTTGATGATTTACTAGTGATTAACATTTAAACAACTTTCTATATTTATTCCAAAAGTATGAGTTTAGGGCAAGTTTCAAACAGCACTCTAGATTTGGCTTGAGCATAGCTCTGGTCTTTTTACAGTCAACTTTCTATTCAGTTTAGGGTTTAATTGTGCTATTCACTATGGGGCTTTCAGACAGTAATGAAAATGCTGTTTGAGAAGCTCAAAAGAATCATCACCAAGTAGCTCCATATATATCAACTCCACCTGATGCTCAGCATGTAAACAGTATGTGTACTTTTCTAGCATTGCTACTTTAAAACATGTAATGGACAATTTACTCTTGCAGAGTAGACTGTATTGCCACCTAAGACTTCGCTACACTACTGTCTTACATTTCTGTAGAAGTATTTATATATATACATATTTCCTTTCCTGTCTATATTTTTTTCCTTGGTTTAACTTCTTCTGACTTGGGGATTCCTCAGAACTCCATGACCAGAAGTTTCAGTGAAATGGCAGCTATCAGGAGCTGCGCTCTCCCTGAGTGATCTAGCATGGTCCACTACATGACTTCTGCCCATCTGGCCAACAGAAGCCAAGAAGCAATTTTTACAGATTTGTTTTGGTCAATATTTCTTTTTCAGCTAGAAACAATTCAAAACACAAAGCCAAACTGTTATTTGAACATACCAGAATTTTTAAATTGTCATCATAATCCCAATTATTTGGGTCATGCTGTAGTATTTATTTGTTAATAATACATAAATATTTATTACATTGTTAAACTTGCATGTAAAGGCACACAGGCTGAAAACTTTACCATAAAAAGGCTATACCATTCTTTAGATCACCTACAGAAATAATAAATATCATTGAACAAAGACAGTTGCCTTTATCAGATAGACTTTTAATCTTATCTGAAGGAGCAACAGGTTCAAAAGACCTATCATCCTCACTAAACCAAACTGACAGATTCATTATATTTTAATCTACAGTTTTCTTGATGAATCCAAACCTTTTTCATTATTTAAACTGTTATGAAGCCAATATGTCTGCAACTTCACATGTTCTCTTTTTTTCCCCACTCTTTAAAGATATTTGGGCATTATTTTAATCTATTCTCTCATTAACATGCAAGCTCATACATGTGCCAGCTCCCTGTTCAATTTTGTGCACATCTCTAAGTCCTTCTAGCTGAGGTTGTGTATGACATACCACAGTTGCTCAGAGATACTAGGCCTTTGAACTTAAATGAAAAGAACAGGAACATTGGATAGGGAGGACATGAAAGAGTTGCACAAAGCCAGTTTGAAAAAAAAGATGAATATTACAGCAGCTATTCTCTCATGCGCTGCAGAAGCCTGCCAGTTTGAGAATGCATGAGCACTCCTGCTCATACTGGAGGGACGAGTATGATGAGCCTGCTCCAGAACTTCTAGTCTGACACTATGCAAATGAGCCTTAATCAGTGGAGAAGCAGGTTGTTATCAACATTTGAGAGCTAGCCTTCTCAGTGTGTCCCAGGTTCATGACTAACCAGTAGTGCTTAACTGGCAAATCAAACATCAGCCTCGTGGCTATGGAAGTTTGTGACAGCTGGAGGAAAATTGGTTACGTGTGAGCTATCAGCATGGCTAAACAGATTGAGCTTAGAAAGTACCAGTGGGCTAAGATTTGGCTTGTTTCAGCCTGAAGCACCGATTACTTTTAGAACAGAAGCGGAATCAAGATGGTAGGTTAGACCCAATTGTATAGTTTCAGAGTTAGGATTACAGTTAACTCTTGTAGAAACCATTGAGCAAATGGATTAGAGAATTTTCTCGCTGGCTATCAAAGCTTAGGAGGGCTGTCAGAATGAGTCATCCAACTAAATTAAGGTCTTGAACTGATATGGGTGTAGATCTTAAGTTAGGTTTCTAGGCAGGGGTTACATCATCAGCTTTAAAAACATCCTGGTAAATACTGAAAGCAGAAAGGGCACTGGATTAGGAGTCCCCCTAGATCAGAAAGGGCATTTTATTTTCAGTTTCCTTACAGGCTGAAGAGTCAAGAACATCGATTTCTGAGGTGTCTGTGAAACCACTAAATAGAGACAGGATGCCCAATGGGCTTTCAGATCTTTATCATAAAGATGAGTTAGCCTTTGCTAACTGCCCACTGACCAGAATAAATCATGAGTGATTAGTTTGCAAAGCATGATCTCTATCCTCTTTGAAACAGAGATGTGGTCAGAAAGTTGTGTGTTGATGCTGGAATACAGATGCCAGCTAGTCAAACAGGACCTGTCAAGGTGGTCCTGCACACAGAAAAATTGTGGGGCTTCTGTTGGCCCTACATTTTTCACTACCTACAGAGCCTTCTTTGGCAGGCACATACAAGCTCATGTGCTCTGACCTACTTTACACTGTAGCCTCCGTTACACTACTCCTTCTGTCCTAGATAAATGGGGTAGCAACAGGGACTAATGTGTGGCTACAGTTATAAATGTACAAAAAAAACCTATTAGATGTTTCTTTGTCTCCTCCCTTCCTCTCCCTATCTCTCATGAGAATCCAGGGAAATAGCACATTCCTCTTTAAATACAATAGCT